ATGATATGATGTATATATAAGCTTCCCGGCAGTATAGAAAGTAGTTAAAATTATCTCCACCTTTAACAGCTGCAACATTAAAGTGATGCTTACACATTAATGCATCAATAATTATAATCCAATGATATGATATTATTATGATGAAATGGCCCATTTTGTATAATGAGTACTTTTATTTTGGTACTTTCAACATATTCTGATGGTAACATCTATTTACTTTTACTTGTAACAGAGTATTTCTACACTCTGGTATTGCTACTTTTAAGTAAAGTTTATTTAGTATGAGTACTATTTCCACCACTGGTTGTTTTATTTATTGTGTATTCATCAGGGTCTTTGCTTGTCTGTAAAGCAATGCAACAGATGTAATGTATACAGGACGTCTAGCTGAAGCTAATTTGCAGCGCTCATCCCCCGTTTCTCATTGTTGAGTTTTGTGCAGCAGAGATGATGCAAAAAAAAATCCACTCTACCAATAAAACAATGTGAGGTGTTCATGTTATTTTGTCCCACCATACAATCCACACCGCAATCCACGGTTAAAAAAAATATCATCCACTAAATTACTAACTGATGTTGAGTCTGTGACACACTGACCACTAAAAGCTTCATAAAGTTAATGTCTGATTTATCCTGCATTGGAGATAAATATAAATGGTTCTTTCTCCAACAAAACAAAGGGATAACATATCTTATTCACATGTATTAACATCTCTTTTGTCATTTTTTTTGTAGATTTTGAAACATATCTTATGCACATTGTACTTTTTGTATGTGGTGACTATTACTTGATTCCGCAAGAGATTCAAGACTCACTTGTACAGAGTTCACCTGCACGCTGTATAACCTCCGTCCTTCACTTGTTCTATTGACATCCTCTGCTGACAGAGATCTATTGCATTTTCATTTTGTTCTGACAAATGTAGTTATTGTAAGTCGGTTTGGACAAAAGCGTCTGCCAAATGTACGTTTACAATTGCTGTTCTTTTGCAATCTGTAATTATTAGGTTACTATATGTATACCCCTTAAACTGTATCCTTCAGTATGTAGCAGTAAAGGCCTTTGAGCTCTGATTAGTTAAATATCTTTGTCTGTAATGTTTTCACAAATTGGCATGATATTAAGTTAAATCTATCAAATGAATTTAAGTATGAATGGAGGACTGTCACCAGGTGTGGCACAGTCTCACTATATTATTATGCTGGAGCCACACCTAAGTTTTATCTGCTTTGTTTTATTTGAGCTTAGCAACCATGAGTCACTGCAGCCAATCTGAGAGATATCTATCTGTCTGGATACAGGCTAAAAGGTCAGAAAAACTCACTATTGGTGCAGAATAAACAAATGTAATTTTTATATTATATTATAATAATATAAATTAACAACTCCGCTCTCATTGCTTTATTTCCTGGGTTCCTGACTGCATTCCTTTGTTTAGATGCATTTGAACAGAAAAACAAGAGATGAATCGCAGCATCTCTCAGTCAATTATTCCCCTCAAGGTTAGCAGAGGATTTAATTTCCCCAAAGCAGACCAAAGTCAATGGTTTTACACTGGCCCGGATGCATAAGGAGACCTATTGAAGCATGACCGACTGCCTCCTCCTCCCTCTGCCTACAGTCATTACCTGAGAAATCACCTTTCACACGTTACTTTCCTTCGACTTTCTGTTCATGCTGACTTCACATTCATTGTCAGGCATGTCTAAACAATCAATCATAGCTTTACATCCAGGTACTTAATGCCGCTCTGTGACAAGTCAAACATGGAATTAATTTATAATCCAAACAGGGAGAAAATAGATGAATCTGGAATAAGTATCATACATTTGGACTCACCATTACCACTGAAGCTGTGTTGACTGTAAATGTTCTCCTCACTGCTGCAGTTCACCTGCTCGTCTTACCAAGTGATCTGATCTGGTGGGACATTAGAAAGTATTAAAGTTATAGCCACAGTCGCCGCCCAGAAAATTGCAATTCCTCTTTCCATCGCAGGTAAATGCAGAGCATACACAAAACAAAACAGAGAGATGAGTCACAATACAGGGTGTGTACAGAAGAGGGGCGCAGACAGTCTGTCTCTGACACACATAGTACATCTGAGTGAGAAAAGACAACATACATTTAGCCATTTAGTTGTGCTTTTACTTTTCTGCTGAGGAAGGTCTTCATGAGATGTGACGGGTGGTTTTGTATGATAAATTTGTTCAGTAGCCTACAATTTATTTGTGGTGTGTGATTTGACATCAGTGCTGATTTTTTTGGGATGTTGCAACATTTTCTTCATGACTCACAGTAGAGCAGCGGAGCAGCTGTATTACTGAATTGCCAGCCCAGTTCAGAGGCACAGAGTGACTAAAATCACTCTTAAGGTTATTGACTCGGGGCAATGTGTATGTGTGTGTGTGTGCGTCAGAGAGAGTGACTGCGTGAGGGAGCAAGAGTGACAATCTTGTCCTGCCTTCTGTCTCATGCGTCAGGAGCTAACTGTCTGTCTGTGGTAATCTCTGAAACTACACTACATAGCCAAAAGGACACAGACATGTTAACGGCCCCCCACACCCCACACTGAAAGAGACATTTTGCTGATGTTGGTTTAAAAACTGAACCTGAACTTCAGTATTTTGTTCATACTCCTGTCCAAAGCTTCCTGCTTCAGCAGATCCACACTGACACTCAGATAAATACAACAGGACACTGTATGAACTATATTGTATATGTAACCATCAAAGTAAGCTTGAGATATGGGATGCACCTATTCTGCGTTTAAAACAATTTACGTTGCTTTACTAATGTTACTGTGTTTTAATGTCACTGTGCATGAGTAATGTGAAATAAACACGAGCAGCCTCTTTCACCTTGTTTTCACATTGTCATTTGATATGTCGTTATGGCAAAGAATATTGATTATAGCCACTTTCAGAAAGTCCCCTTACGATTCCACCTAGCCCTGGATCTCTGGACAGACTGGAGGCTTTGGTTAGAGGATCTCAGGTCGATATGAGGACAGGAGTTCTATAATGGAAGCAGGAGGCAAGATCATTTAACACTGTAAACAAACACAGGATTATAAACTTAAGTCTTTAGTTAGCAGGAGATGGAGTTGGCAGGTGAAAATGGGACAAATGTGGTCCTGATACATTCAATCAATTAAAAAATTTTCTTTTTCTTTTGACCTTTTAGAAATGTAGAAAAACATTAAAGTGGCAACCCTTACCTCTGCCACAAAGTGAGCTTGCACATTTAATGAAGGCGACAATATCCAGAACTGACCATAAAGCAGCATTATTAAACCCAGTAAGGATATATTTTTTTTTTTATATGTTTAATGGACTAAACATGAACAAACATCTAGTCATTTTGTTTGCCAAAAAGCAATTATACAGTATGTTATCTATATAGTGACGTTACTTATGTTTGTAGTCAGACCCCAAAGAGGTCTGTCTCCTTGTTAGACCTCCATGCCGAATTATTTGGGATTTGGGCTTAAGGTAGTGCGTCATAAAAAAATACTGACAAGAAACATGTCATCAGTGTAAAAAGCGTGTGTAAGAGTTTCTCATAATTTTTGGGAAAGTGAATAATCAAGCTGATAAAACAATGTTGGAGAAGATATGAGTCATGAAAACAGATAAAAGTTGCAGCAATAAAATTTCTCTGGCTCAGAGGTGCAGAGAACTAATCTGACAGAATCTTTGTTTGCCAAACCTAAATGCTATATCAAACATACTTTACAGCCCGTATATGATTGACAATTGTTGATCACACATATATGTGATTGTTGAACATCTCATTACATAGCCTTTGGCATTAATGTGCTGCTATAACAGCTACCACTCTGGTTGCTGGGGTTCATTCCCATTCAGCCACAAGATCATGAGTGAGGTCAGGCACTGACAATTTCTCAGTTTGCATTCCAGTTCATCCTAAAGGTGTTGGATGGTGTTGTAGTCAGGGCTCCGTGTAGGCCAGTTAAGTTATTTTGCATTGATCTGAGTAAACCACTTCTCTATGGATCTGGCTTAGTGCTTGGAGGCAGAGTCATGTTGAAACAGGAAAGGGGCTTCCCGAAACTGTTGCCACAAAGTTGAGCGCAAAATACAACTGTCATTAAACATCAAATATGGTATGCCAGTTTATTAAGTAAAAGCAGTGTACAGTTTTGCAATAATTCCTGCCTTCGTAAAGTTTATTATGTTAAGTTTTGTTGAAACATTTTAGAGATGGGTTCATGCGACTTTATGCTAATTTTGGAGGCTGTAGTTTCTGTTAATACTGTTGACTTGCATTGTGTTATACTGAGAGGTGTTTTTTAATATTAAGTCTATCAGAGAATAAACAGACGAAACAGAAGTCTGTGAGAAAACGAGACAAGGTCTCCTTGTATGCATTGTGCTGCATTTGCTTTGCTTATCTTGTCACGGAACCAATGTAACCACTGTGTTGTAGTTTGATTCTATAAAGTTTCGTCCTCAAAATATCTTTCCACCAATCATGACTCATAAACATGTTTGACCTCGGGGGGCATACTGAATGAAACTTTGTCACACATGACGTCATCAATGTCCTCTGATGAAAACGTAAACATGTTGGCAGGACACATACTGTGTGTACTGGGTGTGTCTGTTGCCATAGTGCCAGAAATACAAGTCAGATGAGTTTTAATGGACCCAGCTGTGCTACTGTGGGAAAGATTGTGCTGATTGAGCAAAAAGGGTGTTGATATCCCACTGCCCCCCTGTGGTGACACACAGCAAATACTGTAGGCCTGTGTGTAGGTTTGAAATAAGTGAACTAACAGGGGGTGAGAAAGAGATTGTTGCAAAGATCAATAAGAGATCAAACAGTATGAGTGTCACAAGGTCACAATCAAATTACTGAGCCTAGTCATACCCTGAAAGGACTAGGATCCAAGCATGAAACTGTGGAGAATTTCAGATGTCTTATAAGGAAGTAGGAAATAGGAAAAAACTCAAACTCACTCAACTCATTTGGATACACAAAATATATTTATTTTCCCTATTTTTTTCTATTCGTTAAAAATCTTTTAGCAAAACATTGTAATTTTACCTCTTGAGTCCTCAAAAAAGTAGTAAAATGAAATAATCCGAGAAGTAAAAAAATCCCTCTCTGATTGAACTGTGCACACGTTGTAGACGTGAAACGAATATTGCTTCATCTTAAGGAGTCACAAGCAAGCAGCTGTAGTGTTTGCTCCACCAATAAAAATGAAGGTGGCATCATTTATTAACATTATTAAAACAGGTTGAGTAAGACAGAACTGTTTTTGGTCATTATTCAAGGATCGGTGTTTCCAAAGTTAATAAAGTAAAGACAGCATGTTTCATTAGGCACAAAGAAGAGACACACAGTCAACTAACACACAGGCTAACTCGCCATTCTGATAATTGAGTAAGACGGCACATTACCATAGACCACTGAAACCCTGCTGCTTAAATTATATTATAACACTGTATGCATCACAAAAAATCAATCAGGGAAAACATGGACTCTCCTAAGAGTAATTAACATATGACAGGTTAATATTTACAATTTATACATCCACAAAACAGCAATATGTTCAATGATGTCAGAGAAATAGTTCACAACATAGTGTATGTATAAAAGATTCATGTAAAGTGTTGTATGTATGATAAATAAAGAACATCTGACTGATAGAAGCTAAATTATTGTGTAAGAAAAATTAGTGTTGATGGAATAGCAATATTAAAAACAAGTATTTTCTAATCTAAAATAAAATGATATATATCCATCTTGCTGTGTTTTAATCATAAGGAAGAGGAGCTGACACACAGAAACACATAATAAAATAATTCCATTATAGACTCATGTGGATTGATGTGATTCCTAGTATACTCCAGGGCTGTTACGGATCCCACAACAGAGCACCATGGTGAAAATCATCTCGAAGATCTAAATGTGGAAAGAGGACAGAACAGTGTAATTCAATAAGTCTCTATTCAAGTTCCCCTCTTATCACAGCTGATAAAAGGGTTTCAGGGAAATGTTAGGCATGCTGTGAGACTTTTCACACCACAGCCGTGTGAAATATCCATCTACATTTTCAATCTGATACTCACCATGATGACAGCAACCACCAAGGCAGCCAGACCAATCAGGTAGAGCTTCTCTGAAAACAGCTCGGTCAGCTTATCATGACAGCTCTGGGAAGAGACAGAGGCAGAATAGAGACCAAGCCACTGTGATAAATGAGAGATTTATTACCCCTCACACTGTACACACATTGTGATGGATTATATGTAAAGGAGAACTGGGTCAGTAGTCAAAACAAGGCGCTGAATATCAGCTGCGTCTGACCTCACAATTCTGAATAATTGAGTGTGTAATATGTTATCTATTAGCAACATAAATACTAACAAGGAACTAAAAAGGATACAAGTATTTATCACTGGTATAAGTAATTTGGGTCAATATAGCACCAGTACAATACTGGGTAACTGGGAACTGATAAAACCACCCAAGACAATGTGTTGTTCTGACCCAGTTTTAGGTTGATGGGTTTTTGTTTTTTTTTACTGTTGGGTTATTTGCCCAAAGTAAATATGGTATGGTTGTGAACTGTTCTAATGTACTGTAGCTCTTTTAAACTTACATGTCACTATGTTATGATTGGTAATAATATATGTATCCTTTGCAGCCTTTTTGCTTTTTAACAATGGGTCAAAATAAGGATATTTAAGTTTAACGGTTATATAGAAAACAGCAGTGGGTCAAAACAACTCATTGATACTGACTAAAGTTAAGCCAGCATTGGATCTCTGCGATATTGATGCAAACTGGGTACATTTAGAGTGAGTTGTGGTGTAAAGTAAAGTTTCTTTTACTTTACTTTACTTTACTTTAACTAAAATCAATCAGTCAATTAATAAGATATGGGAAATGATTTACATTTTTCTCCTTGATATCCATCCATTTCTTAACCACAGTTTTATCGGTTACAGGTTACAGTTTTACATTCAGCTGTATTTATATAGCAACTGGTGAGATGCTCTAATTAATCAATCAATCAAGTTGCAATTTCATAATCCTAACATTTATATTTGTCCCTCTTTCTAAAGATGCAAATAAATGGTCTTTTCCGTGTCTGTTCTGCAGCCACTTAAATATATTCTAAGGACAAAGCCAATAAAAATATATTTATACCAAGTGTTATGATCGTTGTGAATTTTAGAAAGAATTTTTATATACCTGAGATTTCAGAAAATCTTCTGGAGACTTTCTGGGACACAAGGTGCCGACAACTTGTTTGAAGAGAGTAGTGTCATCTCCTTTACCACAGCAGTCGAGCTGAAGGGGACGCAGAAACAAGAGTTCACTCCCTCAACAAAATACATGATCAAAATAGATTTCTATGGTTTATACACATAGCAGAACAACTGGCTTAGGCCACATTAGAACATCCTTCATGACGTACCGTAGTGTGGAAAACATCCAGCACTTTGATGGCAGAGTCTTTACTGGGAGACCCTGAGACGTCCACTGCCTTGATGTACGCAGAGTCGTAGAAGTTGATCAGTTCCTTGGAGATCTGTGGGCAGTCGGGAGTCAGGCAAGATGTTTTAAAAACACAACAACAAATACAGCAGGTTCACTGCAGAAGAGGTGTAAAATTAAAGCAAACGTCAAACATTCAGAGCTGCAGTGAAATGCAGACTTGTGTGTGTGTTTCTTACTGTGTCCCTGTTCATGAAACCCCACATTGCTGCAGCCACTTCACAGGCAAAGAGGATCACCAAAAAGAAGAAGAACTAAAGAAAGAAAATAAGCAAAATGATTTGAGTCTCAAAGTCTTTAATTAATTTGAACAGGAAAAGAGATAACTCACAGGTGCGGGAGCTGAAAGTCAAAAAGAGAGATACTCACTGTCCCCAACAGGCACTGAGATTCCTGAATGGCACCATAACAACCGAGGAAGCCCACGAGCATCATCACAGCCCCAACAGCTATCAGTATGTACACACCTGCAAACACAGAGACAACAGGAAACTGACAATCATACATGCAGGTTTAAAGAAGTGTAGTTCATCATGGCGGCATTGTGTCCTCAGCACCACTAGGGGACGGCAGTGTCAGAGCACCGTGTGCATGCTGCCCATTCATTGATCCACACATTGTTCAGTAATGGACTTCCTGGATGATTCTCTTGCCTTTCCTGTAGAGTAACATGACATTATTGACATCCCGGAGCTCCCAGATCCCAAGAGAGACAAGCAGGAGCTGACTCTGTTCAGCTGCTAGGCCAGGAAATGCCTTCCAGACAACCCCAACCCCCGACAAACTCCCACTGCGCTGAGCCCCGACCCCAACCATTATCCTTCCCTAGGAAACAGGGTGAATCATGTGAATACAAAGACAACCACCCACATATGCACACACGTCTTTGTGCAATTAAACTGATATAATGAGGAGTCTAAAATGCATTTATACTGAGCGCTTGAGCACAGTATTAACCAATAAAATAAATCAATTTATGGCCATAATCCATGGTGATGAAACAAATACACAATTTCCAATACTTTTAATGGCAACCAGAATAAGGCCCCAGTATCAGTCTTGTTACAGGAAAAAGTCAATGAATAGCAATAAAGCTGCAGTTAAAGAGCTCTGGCTTATGTTTTATGCAGAATTAAGAAAATGTTCTGAAAACAGAGTAAAGGTTAAATTGTACTAGGACTAACAAATCAACCCAGAAAAAAACCCAGAAGCCAGATATGGTTGATGTTGGGCACGGGACTCCCCACACGGTAAAAAAAAATCTTGTGCTACAGAAACTGCAACAACTTCATTAGAAGAAAATTGTTGTGGCCTTACATCCCACCCGGGAAGAAGAGGATTAAGCAAGTAAGTAACTCTTCAGCCCCGAGCAACAATTTATCAAACTTATCCAGCCCCTCTGGAGCTTTAAAAGGCTAAATAAACTACCTTATAGTTTATGAAGTAATGTAGTTATTTTGGGTCTGGGAGCAGTCTGTTTCAGAGTATGGTTTGAACATGCCAACAAAACATACACACAGCCTCAAATGTAACCTGACAGAGCGGTCCCATAGGGACAGACAGACGCAGTAAAATACCTAGACTCACACTGTACCTTACATATCACACACAACCTTCCCACATACTTACATCTACACCCTCTTTGCCTCAACTCAAAACCCTCCTTCTTTACTACCCCCCCACCCCCCACTCCCCGGCTCTCAGGACTTGATGTTTGCAATGCGGCAAAGCAGGCATTATTTCCACTGCTTTCCATTACTATGACAACACCCTTTGAGGTTTGAAGGCCATTGAGAGGCAGACAGGCAATTTTATACCACCGGGGAAGTTCATTTAGTTCCCAGTGTTATCTCCAGAGGCGAGAAAAGGGAGATGAAGACCAAGTAAAAGCCCCACTTAGACCTCTCTTGTCTTTTCTTATCTGGTATCTTTAAGAAAGAGCTGTTAAGCCATGTTCTATGGTTGACACCAATACACAAAGATGAAGCCAAATATACTGTATGTCAATAGATAAATGATGAGGTATATATAAACATTTCTGCCTGTTATCTTGTTAACAAAAAGGGTTGGAACAAAAGGGGCAGAGCAGACGATCTTTAACAATTGACCTGACCTTAATATGTTTGTTGCTCACATGAAAGTAGCTTCAAAATGATTTACAATTTAGAGATAATTCAGGTGTGTGTACTGTAAATAGATGACATGTTTGGTCTGTAAGCAGTGACAGCAGCATACAAGAATAGGATTTTTTTGAAAATATTAATTTTCTTGCCAAAGGTTAGATGAGAAGATCGATACCACTCTCACGTAAGCTGCAGCCAGTAGCCGGCTAGCTTAGATTAGCATTAGCACAAGGGAAACAGCTAGCCTGGCTCTGTCTAAAGGTAACAAAATCTGCCTACCAGCATCTCTAACGTTAGTTAGCATGTTCTATATTATTATTATTTTGTACAAAAGCCAAAGTGTAAATACAACAATTTTTAAGCTTAATTTTTAAGTTTTCAGTAGCTGTGAGACTTCAGAGGAATTTTGCCTTCCTTCACAGCCTGCTCACCTACAATGCAACCTTCTTTTTTATGATGAGTTATGAAATAATGCAGAAAAGCTTTTCAGGCCAATGCTCTGCATTATACATACAGTGTAAAGCAACTGAAACATCTTGTGTAACAAAATCTGTAACACTCACTGTACCTCCTACAGAATGAGAGGCTGTAGCACTAACCAGACCAGACTACTGACAACTGCCACCAATAACGATTTCAGGCACTGGATAAGAGGTAGGAGCATGTGTATTTTCAGCCTAACATAAATACCACTTTGCTACGCCAGCTTCCACTCCAAACTCTAATTTGAGGGGTAATGTGCAGATGTACGAGGCTATTTGAATTATGCAAGGGCGTATGTTCAAGTGAGGGACAAAAAAAAGAAACATTCCCTTGATCTCGCTTGGGTGGGCCTCTCTTGCCGCCCTGCCTTTAAAATCACGACTGTGCCTTCCCTCTATAAAAAGCACGGGTTTGTATTCGCTCTGTATACTTACTGAGCAGTAAGTATGGGAGAGCAGCAGGAGCCCAAATGTAAATTAGTGGGCTCACTAGAGTTCACGACCACAACAAACCGAGACGATGGACCTTTGAAATGTTTAAATCATATCATGTATTGTAGGTTTTAGGGCCAATTTGTGGATTGCTGAGGTCAGTGAAGGAGACATGATGATGATTTATGACTTTAGTTCATGCAGGGAGCGCACGCTGAGGCACTTATTCTCTATTCTGTGATTTGGCTGAACCTACAATACTTTAACAAAGATATACAGACAGCATGCTGTATTGCACTAACACAAAACTCCTGAAAAATCCTGCGAGAGACAGAAGGTACATTTGTGGTTTATTTGTGGACCATCCTCTCAGAGGCCACATATGTCTCAACATCTGTCTGAAGCGTCTCGCCTCTCTCTTGAAAGAACCATGATGCTGGGACCTATTGCAATCTAAACATTTATAAATCTGAGTTAGAGAACACCACAAGCATTCAGTCATCAGTGTATGAATGACAGCTGAGTAAAAACACTGAGGTGTAGTCATGCTGCGGATTTACGCAAATCCTGTTTCCTGGTCTTTCCTCAGATGTCACACCACTCCCACTATTTCTGGACACTACTCACATGATCCCATGGCGGAGTGTGAAATAGTGAATGTGAATTAGTTAACTTTCATCACTATGTTAACAATCAGCTTCCTGTCGTGGGGAGTACAAGGAATGAGGACAGAAACACCACAGAGTACGAGAGGAAGTAGTGCCTGAAAAAAGGATGCATGCTTATGAGGAAATAGATCGGACTCAAGATGATGATCAAGCCGTTTACAGGAGGTAGTTTTGTGAAGACTAATCTCCACTGAGACTCTGACAGAGAGAAGTTGACATTTATGGTGGGGTTTTTTTGAGCACATAGTTTGTTGCTTTGTTGAAGTTGACCGTATTATATTATACGATGTACTCAATGTTTTTCCACCCTGTGTATGCCCAAAGTGAGGCCACTACTACTCAGTGGACATTCACCATTGAAGCGTGAAATATTAACAGCTTTACCTACCTTGAATGAATGAATGAATCCAGGAATGATGAAAATAGGGAAAACTAGTTTTCCACTTTAAAATAATGAATATCTAAAGATTAAAACAAAATGTGTGTGGGGTAAAAAGATCACATTTTATGCTATTTAAACATCAAAGTGACTGTGAAGCTCTACTGTTGAAGGTGTATACTCACTGATATAGAAGGTGCCTGGTGCCTGTTGGCCTTCAAACTGAAGTATGAGGAGGTTGCTGGTTTGACTGTCATGGCGAAGCCACAGGGCCACTCCTAAGATCACACCTCCGGCCAGCTGTGAGAGAAAGGTTTGAATAAATTTGTTTCATGTTTCTTTACTTTGGTGAAACCTTGGGGAGGATCAGAGCCATTTAAAATGTTAGCATGAATATTAAAACAAACCTGTAGCTATCAATTTTTAAGACTTTAAAAAAAGACCCATTATGTTTTTTTTATGTGATGGCAAGAGAGAGTGCCGTGACATTAGGGACGACACAAAGCCTGACTCTCCTAAGATCAAATCGGTGTCCAAACCTTTCTGCTAATGTTTCTTTGAGTGCATGTGCAGCTCTGCTGTGAGGCAGTGAACTGTTCGCTGACTTTAAGGGAAGTGATGAGAGGACATCCTGACACAGCAGTCACCTACGGCACAGACCCTGCCCAAGCCAACTCAAGAACTTTGTTGTTCAGCTTTATCTCCCTTGATCTCTCCTCTTTTCTGGATCTAATAAAGGAAAAACATCCTGATAAGCATGTTACCATATGAAAGCTGATGGAGCAGAATGACGCTGCTGACGCTCTTTTTCTTCATGCCCATGTTTATATCAAGGAATGGGCACATTTAACGCCATGAGTGCACTCTATTGTTCTCCAAGAAACAGGAAACTAAATCCTTGACATGAAAAATAGCAGAACGAGGGAGAGAGGTTTTCACAATGATAGGCACAGCAGCAAAACCAACAGAGGAAACATTCCATCAAGTGCGTCGTGTCCAGGATATGGTGATACATATCTAAAAAAAGACGACGGTTCTGTACAGACAAACCAAAATGGAAATTCACAAACAAGTCACCAGACTGTGCAAGGCCACAAGTTAATGCATAAAGTGGATGGGACTACAGAACTACTGTGGCAAGTCCCTTATTACCGAAATCATTTTGTCAGAAAACAAGATGGACTCAAGGAGAGTTCAATTTGAAAATATGAATGTACAATAACTGAATAATAAAACTGCACCATTGCAGGTGAGGTGTTTCCTGAGCTCTTTAAAGGTTCAAAGGCAGCAAATACGCAACAGTCTGGAGACCAACAAACAGTTTCCCCTCCCCCAGTAAATCTATTAGCCCTGTACAACTTCCCTGTTTCATTTGGGAGAACCAGGCTCCTCAAAATAAGAAATCATACAATACTGAGGTAAGTCGTGTTTGGTTTTTCATCCATAGTTTCAGAAATCAGACCTTCCTCTCTGGGGTATTTAAATAATTTGAACATGAGTTAATTAAATGAAACGGTGGATCTAAAGTAGAGTGAATGTGAGACATGCTGGAGGGAATAAAACTGTATTATCCCAGTGAGAAGACTGAGGGGACAGTCCCAGGTGCTCCTCTTTCCTTCTCCTTCAGCCACCTTGCACTGGTGCTCCGCCATGCAGAAAATAACTGTTGATGAAGGCTGAGGGCATTTCAACCCCTGCCTGGCCTGGTTTTGTGTGCAGTGCCTCATCTATTGATGCTGCTCTCCTCTCAAAGACAGAGCAGTATAATTAACACAGCAGGGCGGGAAACTCTGTGCATCTCCTGTAAGATTTACCATCTATCAGTTTTAAGTTTTAAGCTCTGAGCTGCACATGTAGACTATAAACTGTGCAGCTGCTTAATCAAACAACAGGAAGAGACCGTTTAAAAAAAAGCAAAAGTATGTTACTCAAACACCAAAAGATCACATTCAAAAAGCAAATTCAGAGAAAGATGTGTTCAACTCACCCAGAAAATAAAATTAAAGAAAAATAACATATATTTAATGCATTTCGTGCAGCCCGCCACAGCCATCTTGCCAGTATTTATCAGCTCGTCCTTTAGCCCAAATCAACAAGTCTATTGTCCCGGATCACACAGTCTCTGCCAGGGTAGCCTACTACTCACTTTATTCGGGCCAGTTGGGGTATAAGCGCTTCTGTGCTGGAAACTCCTCCTTTATAATCAAGAGTGAAAACCGAGACGGAGAACTGCCCACCAAGTGAAGCAGAGGAGAAGAAGGCTGAGGGAATAACAAGCTCCCCATCCGCAAGAGCGAACAGGGAGCCCTACTTTGTTCCTCTGCAAGTTTAAAAATATGCCATGGTCAGACGAAATGTAGGGCAAACTTGGGACCATCCCGATGTTTTTTGCCTGGGAAAAGGGAGTCGAAAGAAAGTGCAATTCTTACTCTTTTAATGATGAAATGTGTTTTTAAATGAAAGCATCAAAAATGGGCTACACATAGGCTACGAAATCAAGGTGTAGGTCTATGCAACATTGTTTCTTTCAACATTGTTAAATAAATGAAGTAGGCCCATTTCATGAGACAACTGTGTAAAAATGAAAGAAAGCCTTCATCCTGGATCCGGATCTGTCCTCCAACACTAAACAGTCGTTCTTTAGATTATGGCCTAATTTTCCATTTGTTTAATCTGCTGACACGTTTTGAGGTCTCACGTTAATTAACAATTCATTCAAAATAAAGGGCACCAGAAATATAGGTCTACCTTCTTTGTTGTGAGTAATGGCGCCCTCTGTCGACAGGTTCAGGCTCTAGTGGGCTGATCATTACAGACCAAGTTGCCTCACAGAGTTGCGCAAAAAAAATTATTCTCTCTTCTGTGTTTCAGATAAGGCTATCTCCACCGTCAGGGCAGTGGCACGCACTTGCAGACTGTCATCAATGCGACTACAGCCTGCAATCTTACATCCATAATTCACGAAGCTATTAGAAGATATATGATTTTTTTGATGTTATGGGCGGATCTGCGCGTTCATGGCTCCAGGGTCACACCTTCTCCAGCCAGCTGTGTATGAACACGACGGGTCTCCGCTGACTGTTAACAGCCGCTGACCGACAGTAACCCTCCCAGCGACGACGTTAAGTGAGGGAGAAGAAGAAAAATTGGGCAATTTAAACAGCTTTAATTGGAGAACTTGACAGCGCCTTTTAACAAATGCAGGGTCCTCCACTGGGCATGCTCCATCTGATCTGAGAGAGGAGCTGAGCGCCGTGTGAATAACCGGCAGTTTGGGCGTTTTTGAGGAGGTTTTTGTCGCCCTCTTATCTCTGATTTTTATATATTTATTTCTGTTTAACCACGCAGCACAGAAAAGAGAAAAGCTCCCTTCAAATAGACTGACTTCTTATGAGCAATGCATGACTGAAAGAGAAAGTCTGGGAGCAGGAGAGCATCTCTCCGCTGAGACAAAGACCTGCTGTACAGTGGTGGTGTGTCGTTAAACGCAGAGAAGGAGCGTCGGTGTGAAGGAGGCGAGTCTGTAGGCAGCAACAGAGGAGGGACTGAAGTCTCCATCGGGAGCTGACGGACAGGCGCTGTCCGCTCAGCACCACCGCAGTCACCTTGCTGTGAAAGTCATAAACCTGCTCAGGACTGATCTGATCAATTACCGCAACTTGGGGAGTCCAATGAGCTGGGGGTTTTCTGCTGGCGGGGGGACATTTACCAGCGTCTGTCCTTTTATCTCGACATCTTGGATTTTCTGACGATGTGACGTCTATTCTTAATATGATTGGTTGCAATTATTTTAGACTTCGATTCAATACCCCCCATTGAGTCTAGCAGCTATCAGCGTTTTTCATCCTCCAGTTGCATGGCAGGTGATCGTAGAAAAAACAGGGTTTAGAGGGGATGCAGCCTGATGCGTGTCAAGCATTTCTTTCGTAGTTGCTGAGAAACGACAGGTTGCTGTGTGCGCTGCTTTCCCTCAAGTAATTGTTTATCACCGCTGTGTATGGTTGCACGGGGCGCCTAGACTTACCTTTGCGATGAAGGGAACTTATTGGAGAAATGCCTAAGGGACGCAATGGGCCTGAGCGACGACAAGGATCGCATTGTGATAAACGTGGGAGGGATCAGACATCAGACATACCGCAGCACCCTGCGCACCCTACCTGGCACTCGCTTGTCCTGGCTGGCCGAGCCTGACGCACCTAACCACTTTGACTATGATGCCAAGATCGAGGAATTTTTCTTCGACCGCCACCCTGGCGTTTTTGCACACATCCTTAATTACTACAGAACAGGTAAGCTGCACTGCCCTGCTGATGTCTGCGGGCCCCTCTATGAGGAGGAACTGGCCTTCTGGGGCATTGATGAGACAGACGTGGAGCCATGCTGCTGGATGACTTATCGGCAGCACCGGGAGGCAGAGGAGGCCCTTGATAGTTTCGGCGGGGGGGGGTTGTTAGACCTGGCGAGCGATGATCCGGAGCCAGAGCAAGAGCACGCTGAGGATGATGTGGATGAAATGACAAGGAGGCTGGCGCAAGGAGACACTCATGATACCAGGAGTGGAAGCCTGTGGAGCCGGTGGCAGAAACATGTTTGGGCTCTGTTTGAGGACCCTTACTCCTCTAAATATGCAAGGGTGAGTTGCTTGTAAGTCTGAGATGTTTGCAATGGCTTTGTTCTTCCTGTTGAACTTAAGATGTGAAACGTCAGTTGGAGTTATCATAGGCACATTATGAGGTGCAAAAATGTTTCATTGCTGGTTTGAAACTGTCAAATCTGCATGAATTTAGTTGTGGATTTGTTTGCTTTTGTCCCTTGATGGTGAAACAAAGGCCGATGGGTCTGGGAGAGTTAGAGAGGCTATGATTTGACCTTGAAATTGCCCTCCCAGGGGTCTCCACAGCAGGGATGTGACTGTACAGAAAAGGGGTGGGGGTGGGGGGGTTAACCAAACAGGCCTCACCTGTCAAAATCATTTACATGCAAATCATCACTCTCACAGCGCAAGATAGAGAAACTCATCGTGACTCTCACAGGTCTTTGGACTGATATTTCCAGGACACAAGGATCCCTGGGCAGGCTGGCTCTTTGGTTAAACGGGTCAGCTACACATTAGGAAACCAGATCTTTGGCACCACTAGCATTTCAGTGGCAGACCTCCAGACAAAAACGAGGTTGCTGTTAGGGGTGACATTTTTGGGCTTTGTTATGGGCACATTTCCATCTGGGCGCAATGCCTCTAGATAGTGACAATGAAATGACTTTACACCTTCAGGTTTTGGTGTTTTTTGACCACTGCCCCCTACAAAAACCACTGTGCTGCATGCTGGTTTAGCAGCTGTAGCAGACTGATTGGAGGAATTAGTTATCAGGCCCCATCCAGCAAGTGTAAACTGTATAGACATGTTCTCACTCTCATAGTAAGTGGTGAAAGCGTAGTGAAAGCGGTTTAACCACACACACACACACACACACACACACACACACACACACACACACACACACACACACACTTCTTTCAGATTTCACCAGGGACATTTCCCAAAGCAGAAAACTTCTCAGATGTGTCCTACTTTTAACAGTGAGCAAGACAAAGCAGAGAGCGAGGATTGACAGAGCTCCACCAAGACTGGCAAGAAGATTAATTAGCACTGAGCCTTAGAGTTAATTACAGTCTCTATTCACGCTGGATCAGTGGACAACCCTTGTCACTGCATTTCACTGTAGGCCTGTGGTATGCTAGCAACAGTGAGAATTAGCCAAGAAGGAGCAAACAATCATCGCCTGTCACCCTCCCTTCAGGCCACACTGTTCCTAACTGTCACAAAGACACTTCATTTACTGTAAGAGGCGGTCTGATGAGATGCAGCGTTTGTTTAACAGTTTGAAGGGTGGAATGTTCAGAGGGCTCAGCAAGCCAGTGTGGTGCACAAGAATGAGGCTTTCAACACACTGAAATATGCTGGCAGTGATTGTATTTTTCCAACTCGTTTGCTAATTGTACAAAATATCATGAGCATCTGTCAATTAAGGCAGCAAGTATTATTTTCATCATCAAGGTATCTGTCACCATCAACTGAATAATACAAAAATGGCCATCACAACTTTCTAAAGCCCAGGTTGACATATTCAAACAGATTATTTTTTCCAACCAACCGTCCAAAACCCAAGGATTTAGTTTACAATGATAGAAAGATCAGCAATCATTCTCATTTTGGAAGCTATAGAACGAGTTAATTTTGTGGCATTTTGGGGGAAAAAACAACATAAAACTTACTAGACAAAATTGTTGCCAATAATGTTTTTGTTGAACTAATCTATTGGCTAATTGTTTGAGTTCTACTGTCAATAAACCGGATGAATTCGCCCTGTTTGAGGTGATTCAGTTAAATTTATTCAGTAATATGCACCATGTACAATTAGTTGCATGTAGACAAGACATTCCCAAACAAATCAATTAACTAAATTAGCACAAAACAGCTGACAATAAATCTGTGGCTTTTGGGATCCCTGAAGCTCCGGGGCCTCCAGGACAGCTGCCTGCTTTGCCCAGTTGGTACTCCAGCCTTGCTGTGGATACCAATCTATTATATTTTTTAGGTTGTGGTTGAATTGGATGGTATTATATTATAGGGACTACTTGTTATTTTGTGCAGTACATACTGTAGAGGGGGTGGACAAAACAATATTATGCAATCCAATACAACAACACCACATACACTGTCCTAATGCCTCAAAACTTCTCTTCTCTCTTACACTGTACAAACAACAATGCACCAACATTAATAGCTCGGCAACGCTACATTTTAAAGCAATTTTGCATTCAATTGCATTAAAATGTCAAGTGCTCCTTTTGTCCACACTCTATTTGTATGTTTAATTGAAGGACATTTTCTTTTGAATTTAAAGAGAATTAAAAAATCCACAGTCACGTGCTATATTAAATATGCAGTGATGAACAGTGATGTAGTTGAACAACAAAGACGACAGCCCTGCTGACAGAACACACAGTTTCCCTCCGGACCATCACACTAACATGGTTGGGAAGCAGACATTCATAAGCAGCAGCGATTTCCTCAGCACAATGTGATGAATCGCCAGTGATGAAATGATATGATGAGGGCCTGTTTTCCATCTCGTGCTGCATCCGTGCCTTAGTGACACACTGTGAACGGACTGACTAAGGCGCTGTGTTTCCTTTGCTCAGTGGAATACTATATGTTGGACTACATTGTGTCCAGACATGCCCCACTCCGACTAACCTCCTTGATGCCTTTCACTGCTCATCCCAGCTGCTTAAAAATGCTGTGCATTAGTTTTTACAAGCACTACAGAGCATCACTCACTCCCGTAAAGACATCTCCATGCATGAACACACTGCTATTGACCCAACTTTGGATGATTAAGTAGCTATCCACTCTTCCTGTCTACCTCTTTGTCCACCAACTTTGATCTATTGACTTCCGATTTCCATTGAAGATAAAGCTGTTTTTTTTACGATTCAATCTAAAATAAAGTCTGTGAGCTGTAACACACTGTAAACCAGTGCAGTATGACCAGATGGTTGCGTTCAATACCCATGACAGAAAACTGTATCTGTTACGCAAATGTTGTATACATCAGAAATATCAGAGCCTAAAAGTGATGAAATATGATTATCTAATCAATACATAATGAAGGCTACACTTGGGCCATTAAGGGAAATATAGGTTTCTCATAAAACTCTGTCCTCAGCTCTGCAAGTCTCTCAGCTCTTTACGATTCCTAAGACTTGATCATCTGGACTGTATAACCTTGTGTAGGGAAGACCTACTGTAGTGATGGTGCCGAAGGGAAGAGTCCCAGCTAAATTTAGTCATGGGGGTTGAGACTAATGTCCTGTCTGCTGCTTCTCACTCTTTGCAACACTGCATGTAACATACCCATGAAAATGCCATGACCTTGAGATACAGCACAGGGAAGAGAAGCAAGAATGGCGAGCTCGCATTGATTGTCCCTTTTACAATGACAGTTCTGACTCAAGACACCTAGAGAGCAGAGAGAGAGAAAAGGGGAAGTGAGAGAGTGTCAGTGCCACTGTAACTTTCAGACCAGATGCCTCGGTTTCAGACAATAGATTGAATTGCATTGTGTCGTGCTAAGAATTGCAGCTGGGCCGTCAAGCTTGATTACATTGCATGAATTACTGTACCCATTCTTCTCTCTGTCCTTCTTCCCCCTCTCTCCTCTCTCCCCTCTACTTCTTTTTCTGCACCCTGTATATATTTCCTGCACAGTGGGTGGCTCTGGCCTCGCTGTTCTTTATTCTGGTGTCCATCACCACCTTCTGTCTGGAGACCCACGAGGCCTTCAACCCCATCATCAACCGAACTGAGCTGGAGGTGGTGGACAACGTCACAGTGGAGCACACCTACCAGGAGACTGAGACTGCGCTCTACCTCACCTACATTGAAGGGGTTTGTGTGGTGTGGTTCACTTTTGAATTTCTAATGCGAATAACTTTCTGCCCGAATAAATTTGACTTCATTCGAAACGCCCTAAACATCATCGACTTTGTGGCCATCCTGCCCTTCTACCTGGAGGTTGGCCTCAGTGGGCTCTCTTCAAAGGCAGCTAAGGACGTGCTGGGTTTCCTCCGAGTTGTCCGCTTCGTGCGGATCCTACGTATCTTCAAGCTGACCCGTCACTTTGTGGGACTGAGGGTGCTGGGCCACACGTTGAGGGCCAGCACCAATGAGTTCCTGCTCCTCATCATCTTCCTTGCTCTCGGTGTCCTCATCTTTGCTACTATGATCTACTACGCAGAACGGATTGGAGCTAACCCCAACGACCCTCGAGCCAGCGAGCACACACACTTCAAGAACATCCCGATTGGATTCTGGTGGGCCGTGGTGACCATGACGACCCTCGGCTATGGAGACATGTACCCCAAGACGATCTCCGGTATGCTTGTCGGAGCCCTGTGCGCTCTGGCAGGTGTGCTGACCATTGCCATGCCTGTCCCTGTGATTGTCAACAACTTTGGAATGTATTACTCCCTGGCCATGGCAAAACAGAAACTACCAAAGAAAAAAAATAGGCATATCCCTCGGGCACCCCAACCAGGTTCTCCAAACTTCTGTAAGTCAAGCATCAGCTCCCAACCTCAGAGCCCCATCCCCCATGACGACGTTTTCGAGATAAAGTTTCAAGGTAAGAAACAAAGATGAAATCCAGTCTGATTTATTGTTGTCTCGTCACTTCTCTGTCCTCCTGAAGCAGCCATATCACTATTCAGCTGTTTCATTGTTTGTCTGTTCCCACACTTCCATCAGCTGACGATTCAGGTATGAGATTAAACAAATGGGTTTCCACCGAAAACAATAAAATATGTGATGAAAAGCATATTTTAGTCTGGAAGGGAGAATAGAGATTGAGGCAGACAGTTAGTAATCTTGCTATTGATTGTGCACTTCTTAATGCAGTGATTCACTCCTCCTCTCTCAAGACATTAAGAACATGTAAGTAGACACCGGAGTCACTCAACTTCCTCTTGAATTCCTCTCGTGACTTAAGTACAAAGACATATTGACCTTTGATGCAGTTTGTGCTCAAAAACATATAGAACAACAGAGTGCAAGGCAAACATTAGAAAGAAGCTATACACGCAGTATTATTGTACTACTTAATCCCAACGTGCATTGAGGTAGCAGAGTGTAAAAAAGATTTATTAAAAAATGTAGCACTTCAATTCTGACAAAAGCTGGTATATGAAACCAGATTGTTCTGTTTGTTTTTCTTTTCTTATAAGATTCCAAGCTGAACGGTGAGGCAGCTAACGCAGCTCTGGCCAACGAAGATTGCCCTCATATAGACCAGGCCATATCTCCAGAGGAAATCTTCAGCCCTAGCGAGAGAGAGCGGCCCTGCTTCCTGGTCACCACTGCTGAACGCCCTAACCACACAGGGGGCAGAGTGAGGAGGGGTACGTACAGTAACAGCCAATCACAGGCCCCTGTAAGACACTGACACCCTGTAGACCGTAGACAGGACATGATCCTTTTCCCCCTCTCTTTGCTGAGTGTTATACCTCAGTCTTTTACAGGCACACACACACACACACACACACACACACAAAACACACAACTACAAACCTCTTATTACAACTTTTACACACTTTCACAGCAGCTGCTTCTCCTCAATCATCTTTTTGGGAATTGTATATATTCCAAGTCACAGTAACATCTGTTAAGGCCAAGCACAATCACCACGAATGTCAATAATTGTCCACATCTACATACTATATTTTTTTGATACCATGCATAATGTAATACCCTTATTTATTTATGAGTAAGAAAGCTATTTTCGAGATTTATATGATCTAGAATGTGTTGTCTTAGGAAAGTATTTATGTGCTATGCGTGTACCATGTATGTATATGTGTTTTAATGATAAATGCCATGCAGGGTCCTGACTTAAGAGAACATTGCTCTTGACCTTAACGGTGCATGAAGTGTCTTGCTGATGGGTGCTATCAGTATGGTGAAGGAGCACAACACAAATGGACGAAGGCAAATATTATTATTATTGAGACAATTTCTAAGTTACAGATTTTTACACGAGGGTTAATTCCTTTTTATTTTATTTATTTAGTAATCTAAAAAAAAACATTCCACTGAGAAAGTCATATTAAGCTGTGTGAGCAGCCAGCACATCAACAGCAAATGGCATACAGTATGAAATTCTACCTGTAGCGGAGAACACATTCCCTGCCTGAGGTGCCTACCTTTTCGAGTCTTTTCTAGTGTTATACTCCAAACCATTCCAGTACCACCCGGTGCATGCTGTTGTACTCCTGATGCACTCAATGCATGGAGAATAAGAATCTGTCTCACGTCTGTGTTGACCTGTTTCTTTGGAGACAAAAACAAGAAAGCAACAGGTGTAGTATTACCAGTGAGGAACACCAAAACATTTTGTCATGGATTTAGTGCTGCAGTGTACTCAGAACGTTCTCTGTTTTTCAACTGAAGGTTATGAAAAGCCTTGGAGCCTTAACAGCATGTCTGGCATGAGCGGGGATGCCTCTGGAGTGTCCTCAGTGTCCGCCCTGCCCTGCAGCCCACCCTGTCTAATGCAGCACTCACATTCTCCCATCCCATCCATTATGTAGCATGGTTGAGTAGCAGACACAATGCCATTGGAAGGCCAGTCCTCACACTCCTGCTTTTGTTCATTTTTATTTGTTTATTTTTCTGGAAAACTGTATTTTAACTGTGCTAATACTCAAGCCTCCCAAGTGTTCTCCTTGGGTGTGTCATCATATCCTAGACTAGAAACCATTGGCACATGCCACTCTGCATGGGTCACCTCAGTTGCAGACAAAGCACTGTTCTACTTGTACTACAGGCTAACCCCACTCTTTCCCTGTGTTTACATCATTGCCTGTTGCTCTGTTGCTTTTGATCTCGCATACTATTCTGCCAATAACTTTTATCTCATCTGCTTTTTACAATTTTGTGAAAGACATTTTCATTTTTTAAACATATCCAAAAGGTATCATTACCAGCTGTTAAGGGAACTCCTCTTAAGTGCTTTGTACGTTGCAAAGTAGAGACGTTATCATTCTGAAGTGCAGTCCAGACCAGACTCAATGTAATCTGAGTGGCCATCAAAAAAAAAAAAACAAACAAGAAAAAATTGAACATTATGTTCATGATTGTCCAGTGCAATATGGAGATGATGACAATTCCTATGATACTAGTGATGAATACATCTAATGTCAACGGAACTTTTTCATTTGCATGAACTGCATGAGAAAACATTAAGTTCAACAAGAAGCTAATTGTATTGCAGTACATGTAAGAAAAAAACATTTTTCTTTCAAAAGCTTTAAAGCTTTGTCATTTTTTATGCATTTTCAGACAGCTTTACAAGAGACTCAGTCATAGCAGAGGTTTTTATGTAGCTGCCATTCTTTGCCTTTCCCCAAATTCTTATATTTATTTTGTTGTATTTATTTGACTGGGGCCTCCAACTAAAATAGTGTGATTTAACTTGAACAAATTGTCATAAAGCCAACTAATGCTGTTATGAGCATAAATAGTTTTTATACAAATATATTTACTGGTAGTTGTGAGTTTTTAAACCGTATCTGTAGTCTGCAGCAACTGTTATTACTGCTGCGATGCCTAAATTAAGGCAAGACTCATGAATTATAAAACAACGGTGCCTTCATACCTGGTGAGGCAAAGTAAAAGTGAGTAATAAATTGACATATTACGCAAGTGCTCCCAGTGTAGCATCAGTACACTTTATATCATGCTCATAACAGTGTAACGAAAGCTTTATTTATAAAGGTGCACCTTGTACCTTGTGCACCACCCTAGTACCCGCACTCATAGTAAAAATACCTTCTTGGTTACTATTGTTACACCATCCAACACATTCTAGGATTTCCCCCACAGCTGAAATATTGACTTTATACAGTAGTCCCATCTCAATTAAAGTTTTGTATGATAAAGCACAAAATATTATTAACGGGGACCAGGCAACTTTACAGAGCCAAAATATGTTGAGTTATGATCAGCCAGAGGTGTCATGATGACTCCTACAATATGTATGTCTGTTGATTTAAAACATCAATACAGTTACTGTTAAATGTATTGATCCTGTCCCAAGAATTATGCACAATTTTTTCAGGGCACTTTAACAGATTTTATGTTGACCAATCAGAAATGTTAATTTCTAGAAGAAGATATCAACTCATCTACGTTTTGTTTTTATTCTTAATGAGCAGAGTTCTACATTTTGAGTCTTGTCTCCTGTGGTAATTAATGGACGTTATATATTTAGAAAAAAAACTTGTGAAGATTTGATGTGAAAAGATGCAGGTGAATTATATGCTCATGCAATTCAAGTGGGGGGGTGGGGGTGGGGGGTGGGGGGTGCAGGGGGGTCAGTAGGACACAGTATGGGATGTGGGTCTACTTGGGGAAAGGTAAATGCATGTATTTTACATTTATGCAACAGAAAAGTATTCAAATAAAATATGTAAATATAAGTCCTTGCATGAAATAAATTTTATACACCATGAGTGTTTAGACTCCGTTTTTATTCAACAGCACTTGCATACATACATCTTTCCTTTCCCAGCTAGTGCTTTAAACTGCTGTTTGACCCTCTGTCTACCTTTGTCCGGGTCAAAGAGAGCATAAATAACGAGGTGACTGTGAGAGCATGATGCAAAGTATACAACCGCATGACAATGACCGAACTCCTGTACATTAACTGTAAAGCGCAGCATGATCGGGCATGTTTATTAACCAACTCAGAGTCCAACCTCTGAACACAGACAGTACACCGTCGTCTAATGCCTTGGCTAAGCATGGGAAATACATGGTAAACTTGTCATTTACCATGAGGAACTAACGGAGCACATTTTCTTTACTCTCCAAGCTAGTGTCATTTTTCACCTCTCCCCACACCTCAGAGGTATCCATGATCACCATCATTTCCACCATTATACATACTTTGTGTAATAATTTATTTTTGTTATTGTTTTTTTATATGTTTATAGAGACCCAGCGACAGCACCGGAGCAGACAACCAACAGAGTCAGTTTGTGTTATGAACCATGGTGTACCAACCACTATGTGTATGACCCATAACGGCCCATCACCCACCTGATAGTGCTGTAGCATTGTTGTGTGTATTACTTAGTATTTTTAAATGGGTGTGACAGTGACAACCTGTGCATCACAAACTCAGCATAGATGTAGCTCTGAGGAAGTTTTGTTGTCAAGCCTTATGTAGCTCAGTATCTGTGACTGGTTACTGTGTTGTAATTTGTGTGCCTATTTTTGGTGTGTGCCAGTGCTGTAAATACGCTTTTTTGTGTGCTGAAGTTGTGTGTACCAATGTTTTTGAGTGATCATCAAATATCTGTGTGCTTTTTCTGTTGAAAGAAAAAAAAATGTTGCTCCGATTTCAATCACCCCCCCTCAGCGAAAACCTGTCACTTGTCGTGTCAGCCAGACTAAACAGTTGAAAACAAATCGTTAAACTTGCACTTGCAACGTGCACTATCATGGTCACATCTTTGTAGACTTTTGCACTGTTTTGCACCAGTGAACTTTTTAACATTCCTTTGTATGTTTCCAGACATCCACAAATAATAATAAAAAAGGTCATATTTAAAAAAACAAACAAAAAAACAAAACAAAAAAAACACTACTTACCTAGTTTTAATTAGACATTAAAATGGTAACGTGTGCGGTTAGGACTTATAGAGATTGAACATTAATTGAATATATCTTCATATGTAGCCACGCTTTGATTAACAAAGACATGAACTCATATCACAGCTCTGACCTTGATAATTATTCTGTATTACATTTCAATTGACAATCATGTAGAATTGGATTATTATTCTTTCTGTGCAAATTGGTGTAATAGTATGTAATACTAGCCTATGCCAAAACATTACACACATCATACTGGACAAGTGCCTCTGTTATGCAAATTCGTCTTAACATTCATCATGCTGGTACAGCTTAACCAAAATGATGAATAAATGTACATTTAAGTTTTTTTTAATTAGTCATCATTCACCAGCCATCAGCACACAGAAACAATAAGGATCCCCATACCGATCAGCTTCTATAGGCAAGCAATGCGCATACCTAATTAAAAACAAAAAGGACAGCCATTGAGTACAATGTAGAGCTTCACTGTTAGTGTGGAAAAGTTTGTGTAAAGGGACCAACTTTTTAACAAACATCTGCATACACACTGCCAACAACCTACAGCAGATCTCAATCTGCCAACAGAGCTGAGCAAAAATGGGGGGGGACAGTGTGCTGGTCATTGTTCGACACGGAATAAAAAACAAAAACAGCAGCTGTTCAAACGGAATCAATAATGAAAAGGCAACAAGTGTGTGCCATTTAGTGAGACTTCAGAGTGTGTGTTTTGAACACAGTGCATTTTGTGGTTAGTTATCTCAATAAGATGGTCAGTGATCGTTTTGATTTGGTTTGTTGTTTAGGTTTTTTTTTGGTGTCTTTTTTGACCAATACAGTTCAGGCTTGTACAATAAATAGAGATAAATAAAAACAAAACACAGAAATGACCATTTTTCAAGGAGTGTTGATTTATTTTTTTCAAAATAATTCCAGGTAAAAGCACATAAATTTAACTTTCATTAATGCATAATTCCAGTGATACAGATATACATATTTGACTTGCATAAACCATGAGTAAAAAAAAGTTTTTAAATAAAAATAATGAAATAAATTGCAAAAACATCATCCAGGAGCCATTCTGAGTCTTGTCATTTACCACAGACCTGCAGTTAGTCCCCGGGTGCTGCACTGCGGGCGCACACAGCTTATAAATATGTAAGTTGGCCAAATGCAGCAGACAAATTTCCTCCAACAGAGATTAATGAAGTATACAGTATGAAAGTGCTGCAGACAAGCACGTCAAAAGTATATGACATAGACCGACAAGAATATAAATAAGTGACAGTTGCCAGAGAAAAAAATATTGTACTGTATGTGTTAAGTGGTAAATCATGAGATGGCTGAGAGATTTTCAGTGTGAAATGCAGAGATTGACTGCCTCCTGACACTCGGGATCACTGCAATAAAACCGCTGACATGGGAAGATGGAGCTATAGCATCAGTCTGGCCCATCCCTCACATGATCCATAACAGCGTCATTTAGGAAGACAAACATGGCAGGTGGACCATGCGTGGCTATGTCCTGCAGACCCCAAACATGTCCATCAGTATGATGGGCTGGTCAGAGAAATGATGGCCACATGTAACATAACTACATAACTCAGCTTGTGTCCAACCACACAACAGTATTTATGATGTCTGGGGAGCTCAGGTAGCCTATTATAAGGTGAAAGTTACTGTGTATTTAAAGGCACTTAAAATAATCATATGTGGGCTTTTCTGAGCACCAATAAGCCACCGTAGAAATATGTTAATTCACATACATAGTCATTGTGTTTTTCTAGCCTCTGATTGCCACATGCTGAATAAACGCCCCTGCTCCGATGTTACTGAAGTGGAGTAGGTGCTGAGTTTTGTCGTGAGTCAGTCGTCGCAGCACACACTGCCATAGAGTGTCCGGCTCCACAGCCAATGAGAAGAGGTCTGAGACCAGAAATGCGCTGTGGCTGAACGACGTCGGTCTGTGAACCATCTCCACACATTCCATGTTCGTTCCAGCCCCAGGAGACGAGACACCCACCTGAAAAAGCAGAGGGGGTCATGGGTCAGTGGAGCTGAGAGGAGAGGGCCTACAGCACTGTGCCATGTAGACTAAAATTAGCAGAAAATCCAAAAAAAATTCAATTTTCTATATACAGAACGCACACAATCACACACACTGACACTCAGCAAGTAATAAAGTCTCCCTGCTCTTCACAGCTGGTGAGCTTGTTGGTGGGTGTGGTCAGGTCTGCATCACAGAGGAGACACGTGCCATGGCAACACAGTTACCTAATAGGCTCCATCGCCATGGCAACAAAAGCGAGCTTGCTTTCTCAAGGGTAACACGTCTTCAAGCTTTCACCATCTAGCAGCTGTGTGTCTTTCATGCCGTCTTTTCATTTATTTCATTGTGGGGTTTCTTTGTCTTTCTGCATTTCTAGCTCGTCTCGGTGGCATCAAAGACGTGGATTCGCCAAGTGACACATATGCTTTCGCCACTTAACAGACCGAGATATCATGCCAGCAGCTTATGTCGACGTGACAGCCTGCCAGATATGGCTTACAAACACACATGTAGCCCCGTCTTTACAGTACTGCATGTATTCATAACTGGACTGCATTTTTCTCCATACTTGATTAAGGTTATTCAGTAAACATACGGTTCTCATTTTTTAGTGAGCTTAATGTGTTGAAATGTTTCGTTCTTAAGCCTTATTTTGGCGCTGTGCTTAATTCATGGACTCACTGTCTGGAGTACAGCACATCAGTGTTTCCATGGAAACAAAGTGCCAGTACAATATTCTGCACAACAAAAGGATAAAAATCAAGACACTCAAACCAAAAGCCATTTCCTTGTAAACAAATGCTGTCATTCAATTTTACATTAGACAGTTTAAACTCTCACACCTAATTAAGAATACCACAGAGACACCATCTGCAGCAGGCGCCTTTTTTTAGTATGACTTACGTCATACTACAGGTTCAAGTTAGAACAGGTTCTGACCAAAGGTGTTTGTCCTTATACGTTCAAAATGTTCATATTAACAACATTCTTTCCTCAGATTGGATGAGCTGTGCCTATCTCCCACCTCTGACCACTGACGATGAATTTCATACATGAGGAGCACTTGCTCAGGTGCAAATGGGCAAGGGCTGAGCAGGCAACAGATATCATAAGCAGCATGCAATGCTCCCCGTTCCTTTCTGCCTGACCTACTTCGGCACCAGAAATAGCAGCACTCAGGTCTCTGCTTCCAATCCGGTTTTGCTATTTCATTGCTCCTGCCACCGTGCTCCAGACAGGAGGAAGAAAAGAGGAGAGCATGGCACAGGAGGGAGATGCGCGGGGTTCACATGAGCTCTCCCTTTGCTGCTTCTGCTTTCTCATCACATAACTGAACTTTTGAAAGCACAGAGTAGTGCTTTGTGAGATGACGGACGGTCTGCATTAACAATTTCCTAATTATAATGGCATATCCAGTTAACTCTTCAAATTGGTCAGAACATTAAAAGTGGATGGCCATTTGCTTGTTGAAATACCAGCGATGTCCAGCGTTTCCTCTCTAATGGAACCCTGTGCTTGTGTTTCAATGTTCATCTGTGCTATTTATCATCATGCTGATGTAAAAAAAACTGGGTCAGTGCTCAAAATTTAATGGGAACAATTTTACTTTTAAAATGTTTCATAGTGCTAGCTGGTGACTAAAGGAAAGAAGGAGACTCTCTAGACAAGCCTGGAAAGAATAAAAGCATATTTGATCTCTTTGTAAACCTGATGAGGAATCGCAAACACACTGTCTGTTTGTTCAGTACTTTTTAAGGGATGTGTGACTGCAGTGTTTATGTTCTGTTCTTACGTGGATAAAAAAAGGAGACTGCTCTCCAAACACTGGAACCAGAAAAGCATGTCTCCAAATGTGTGTGTGGCTAATTCAGCTCTTTTACAGGCCTGTTCGGGTAATTGCTTCTGTCAATGATACCCATCTATTCATGCTGTAATTACTTCCTGATGCAAAGGCCACAGAGCAACGAGCAACGAACTCAGAAATCCTCTGCAGCATTACCAGAAGGATTAATATTTCAAACTGATGTTTAACTGTAATGTATGAGACAGTTCCCTTACTAATTCTTTGGTTCAGAGTGGAGGAAGGCTTAAAAATAGCCATGATAATACAAATGTGTATTCCCTATTCTTTTATGTATTTGGAGCCAGTTTCATGTCAGGCCAACAGTGAAATCTCTTATTTCAGCCACTTGCACGTACTGAAACCAATAAATTCAAACTAGCTTTGCATAATTTCTCAGAAACCTCTCTTCCTTAATGTACTTTTCCAATGCAGTAATGCATTATGATGTTAGATGGATTTATTTTGCTGCAACATTAAAAGTTCTGATGTCTGCAAATATAGCAGTTTTTTAAAAATAACATACAAAAAGAAAATGAGGAATGCCAAGAAAATGGATGGAAACTTCTGATTGAATACACTCACCTACAATGGCAAGGTTATGTTCAGATCCACATGCAATCTGTAGAGAAAAATATTTTTAAAAGTGTTTAAAATTGCATGTTGGAAGCAGACAATTTTAAAACTGTAATATCCAAGAATTGTTTTCCCGACATAGATGCTGAGATACTTTGTAACCAAACTTGCTCTGAAAATGAAATAAAAATTCCATGTGTCAAGATGAAGTCATCCAACATTTATTAAAAACTGCATACAGCAGGAGTGCATCAAACGCAAAAAGAACATTAGTGATGTTGTCTGTGAACACATTACATGCTCCAATCTAAAACCCATCACTCCACAGTGCATCACCAGAAAGCTGAGCAGAAAACTGTAACAGAAAATCCAACTCTTTCATAAAAGCTAAAACATGCTGGGCTGCCTGGAGGAGTTAATGCAACTGTCTCAGACAACTGTGTTCTCCTGCTTTTGCTGACCAAAACCTTTTACAGTTTAATGGCCTTGTTTTTGCAGTCTTTCCCCTTCTTAACTGCTACAGGAATTGAGGGGACCATTTTTAATTCTGATCCTGAAATCCACAAAGCTCAATATGAGTAAAAACATGAGGCAGAGCTCTCTAGATACCAGTTTAGTTTGTTAAAGCTTTATTACCAGCAATAAAAGTCATTGAACTGTATTCATATCCTTGCTAATACAGTTTGAACTGCTTTGATAAAGCAATGTTTTTGATAAAGCATACAGCTGTGGCAAGCCATGAATATAAAAACACCCACTGATTCCTGAACCCCTGACATTTGTTACTGCAGTAATATTTTTAAGACCTCAAAAAATGTGACATTTTACTTAATATTGACTCTGTGGTTGTGTCTGAACAGTGTTAGGAGGACTAACATGGTAGGGTGAGCCTTGAGATTCATTGCTCACTCAGCTGATCCATCTTGCCTTTAGCTTTACACACACACACACACACACAAGGTGACAAAGCCTTGACATACGCGAGCGCTGCAAATATGTGCACAGTGGAAGAATGATCCAGAGCTTGCCTCTGCCTGTCCCTGACATACACTTTATCGTCAACGATCTCCTACCACACAGCTGCCATTTAGACTACAGGTTAACTGCTGCAGTCCCGTGACGCTCACACATAATTGCCCTTGTGGGAGATGAGACCGCCGCCTTTCCTGACGGTAAGTGGTCCTCTGGGAGTGTGTGTGTGCATCTAAAAGCTAGATATAGTGATGCAAATCATTATGAACCTACCCTTAGTGGTCCTGGCTCTCATTCAGCAGCAATGTGTTTCGCATCATACAAAACCCTCAGGCTACTTGTTTTATTTATGGCTGTCTGCTGCCCCCTGCTGGCTGACACAGACATTTTCTGCTAAAACATGAGGACGATGGCCACAACAGAAATTCAATATAGTAAATCATTGATACTAATAACGCTTCATCTAAAATACACTACATGTATAAGCATTTGTCATATGCCTTCTAATTTTTTTCAGTCTGTAGAGGTTTTAAACACTATGAAGCCTTACCTGTGTCGCTCCACAGAGGACTTTGACCTCTTCAGGGAGGCAAGCCATCTGGTTTCCACCTTCTGCTGAAGGCCCAGCTGACTGCCGATCTGGGTTCTGACTGGTCGATGCTTGTCGGCCCAGCTGTCCATAATCTCCTCTGCCCCATGTCAACACTCTCCCAGTCTCTGAAATTGATGATAATCTTTAGATATGACAACTGTCCTTTAAATCATGTTAAAACAGGTGAGCATCACAGACATAATATGTGTTATTATGTGTCACCTGTTTGAGCAATAATGTGCGTCCAGCCGCTCCACACATGGATAACTTTCTCTCCACCCAGCAGTGAGCGCTTCACAATGGTGGGGGACGACAGGAAGGGCTCTGTGGTGGTCAGCTGGCCATGCTTGTTGCTTCCCCACAGGAACAAATCACCGTCTCCTGCACACACAAGACAGGAGCGACATTACTCTTCATCCAGCAGAGGCAGCAACAGAAGGGCAGTGCAGTAATTGAGTAGTGCTGGTCAACTTCGTTACAGGACAGAAGGGAGGCCAGACATGATCTATGAACATGAACTGGAAAACAACTCACTAGTACAAGCTGAAAGTGTAAATCCTCTCTAAACAAGAGCAGCACAAAATGCATTACGATTAAGTTACCACTTCTCTCATGTTTGTCTGCTACTCTTTAAGCAACTAAATGAAATGACTTCTACAGCATCAATAAAAGAACTTCAACTGTTTAGGAGGAAAAGGGACTGGACCACACTATTGCAAAATGTAGGTCTGCTTGCACTATTAAAAGCTACAAATCAGTCAGTGTGTTCCAGTCCCCTTTTCCTTTTGGAAGTTTGCTGTTGTATATTTTTATGTTGTCAGTTTATATATTTATATGTACACAATATTCTCTTCTGTTATGTTACTTCTGCATGACACAGACCCAGAATAATGCACATGTATATATCTGCAACGTTGTTCTTCTATTCCATATTTATATATTTCTAAACATTTATTTATGTCAACTGTATGTTTGTCTACGTGAAGCACCTTGTCACCACAGCAAATTCCTCGTATGTGTAAAACACAACTTGGCAGTAAAGCTCCTTCTGATTCTGATTCTGGTCCTTGATCCGAGAAGAACCTGATTCTGCTGCATACTGCTGGAAGATGTACGGAGAACCCCTTTCCATCTAAAGTTGAACTGTTAGTTAGAAAGAAGGTTTCATATATGCCGATGTCCTACCTGTAAGGCACACACAGTGCGCTAAGCCAGCAGTCACCATGTGAGAGGTCTTCTGATCCAGACCTGCAACATAGACAAAAGCATCTGGTCACATTTATCAATCATCAGAGGCATTGTAAATCACATAAAGCCTATAAACTTTGTTTTCCGTAAGTGTACAGAGTTTCACATACCTGGTACCAGAGAGGGCACTGTAGAGCTCAGGTGTGATGGGACAGGGCGTGGACTGAGAACTCTCTTAGCGTGACTGAAAAGACCCCTTCCCCACTGATAAACACAGCCTGAGTCTGAAGGAAGAACAGATCATCAGGATTTGTGATTTGCTAAATGAAAACACACTGACGACATTTTTGGTGCAAACTTACCAGCAACAGCTAGTGAATGTCTGAGTCCTGCTGCTACACTCACCATTGGCTCCTTCAGACTCTGAGAACAAACTGCACGATGACATCTGCTTCAAAGAAACTGATCTAACTGATTTCTGAGGTGAAGTTGGTTTGCAGCAGCTCTGATCACTCAGGATTCATTAAATAAAAGGTATGGCAAACAGTACAATGGCTATATTATGTTCCTTAAAGAAAGTAAAATACACGCCACCCATGTGCTCACCTCAATCACCAGTGGATTTGCAGAGTGTGTGACTCTCTGTCTAACACCAAGTTGTCCAAATGCATTGGAGCCACACGCCAGTACTCGACCACAATCTGTCAGTGTGACATAAAAAGAAGAGAAATATCTCCATGAATAAAACACACTAAATATTCAAATTTTGAATGAGTGGAAGGTAGTTTCGGCTTCCTATGTCAACCCTATTTTAACATTACAGTGCTATGAATTTTGGGTAACCCTCATGTCTGTATGATTGCAGACTTATAGAAGATGTGGCCTAAAACAAGTCTCATCCGCCTGTTACCCGTTTTAGTACAACCCAGATGCCCTGGAACGTGAGTCTAATGCTGCATTTGCGTTATGTGTGATAACCTTGGCAGACAAGGGAAAGATTCCCATTATTATAATATACAAGCATTTGTGTCATAAGATAACTCAACATAATTTGGCGATTGCAGAGTTGGTTGCATGAGGGGTTAAAAAAAAAAAAACTCATGCAAAACACATCATGCATAAAATGTGGGTTTTATTACCTTGAATGGAGGAACTGGCTGACGTGAGAGTCCACATTTTTTGCTTTTTCTGGGACTTCTGTATAATTACTCGCCAAGACAGATATAACAACGCTTTCAGAAAAAGCTCCCAGTCTCCCAGTCGTAATTAAAAACTGGATGTTGACAAGAATGGTGTTTACGTGTGTTTAAGTTCGAAACTGGTCATTGCACTAACTTCCATATTACATTAGTGAGTCTTTGGGTCTGTGCTCCTATTGTCCACTTACTGCTATCTACTGTAATGTAGTTGTATTCTTGAATCTATGAAATTGTTACAGCCATTTTAGCCACTGATCATGCTCTACTGCACAAATTCTCCATTACTAAGTGACTGTATAGGATGTATATTCTTACATATAATTTATTTGTTCTTCCAATTTTTATCCGGTCTAACTTATGGCTGCTGTGATATCCGGACTTCCCCTTAAGGATGAATAAAACAACATCCTATCCTATCCATTGCCGCTGTCCAAAAAGAACACGTGGAGAAAATGCTTTGTCTCTCATGAAACTATCAAATCCTTCTGAACCTAGTGCACGTGTAAAAAAAGAGCTTCACATCCTGATGTGAAATGATGCTCACCAGTGAGAAAAAGAGTAAAATCCCAACCACAGGCTACGTTTGTGACCCTCTGACTTAGACTGGGGCAGAGTTGAAGAATTGAGATGTCTTCATTGTGGCCAAGTCCCAGCTGGCCTCTGTGATTCTGTCCGCACACAAAAACCTCTCCATTCTCTGTCCAACACAAAACACACCACAAAGGTTAGACAGCTACTTGTAGCCTTGCACCTACATGTTATAGTATATATTATCGCTCCTTCTAAGATTAGGGGAAAATAATTTTATCAGGATTTATATAATAAAGAATACCCCAGGCAATGTTATTGTTATTTGTGTCTTTTTATATAACTGTATACTGTTCTGTACTTGTGTTTTTTTCATATACATTATATTCCCTTTCTTACAATAAAGATGTAGAAATGGGGAAAAGGGCAGAGTAATTACGTAACTATAGATGTAGGTTATCACTTATGTTTTTCTGTTTGGCTGGTTTTCCATGCGTGTGTGTGTGTGTGTGTGTGTGTGTGTGTGTGTGTGTGTGTGTGTGTGTGTGTGTGTGTGTGTGTGTGTGTGTGTGTGTGTGTGTCTTGTGGTGTCTTATAATCCCAATAAACTAAACGAACTAACGTTAAAACCGAAAACATTATTTGGCCATGAGCGGCGACACGTGATCAGTGTCTTTTTCAGACTTGGTTCACATTGAGGAAAACACGTGTTATAAACTTTTGACGACCAAGAGAGACTTGGATTTAAAAAGGAAGAATGCAGTTTATGACAAACACTAACTTACCGGTGTTAACCACGGAGTGACCCCCGCCGCCGTTGAGAGCTCGCACTGCCTTGTTTTGTAGAGCAGCGATGTCGGAGAGCCGGGGATCTGACTCGTCCTCCACATGCCCCAGTCCCAGCTGCCCGTAGCTGTTGGCTCCCTGACAGACACGATATTAATCACTAACAGTGTACAGAACTAGTAATGCTGAATTAACCGTTAACTACATCTTAACTGGGGTTTGTTTTCGCCCTACTGGTAACGTAATGTACGTTGGAGCGACATAGTTCGCTGACTGTTGAGCTAACGTTAGCAAACATGTTGTGTTCAACGCTGCCCATTTGCTGGTGGTGAGTATTGGAAATAATTAAACTAAACGGTAAGACATACGCGACTTTATCACTTTAACGGTGAAGATAACGAACTTACCCATGAGTGTAAACAAAACTCCGGCCGCGAGCTCGTTTCCATGGAGTACCTAGCTACAAATGAGTACAGCACTATTTGCGACACTGTCGTGAAGTGATGTTTGGCTGCTTTTGCATCTCATTAGTTGAAGGACGGATTTTGTGAGAAGTATGTTGGAACAAAAAGTAGTTTATGATATTTTCTAATGGCTACGTTTCCGCAGTGTTGTGCGAAGCCTTTTCTTTCATTCTCTCTCTCTCTCTCTTTTTTTACCGATAACTTTTTACCATAGACATGGCATATGTAAATAAACTCAGTTTAGTACAATCACCTGTCTAAAACCAAAACCCATAGGTGTCATTTACCCTGGGGACATAGATCCACCACTTTTTGAAACGGCTGGTTTTGTCCCCATCACTTTTTGGAAGCACTTGTTGAAAATGTTCTGGAAAAATAGCAACAAGAAATGTTAAATAACAAATGAAAATGCTTTGAGAAAATTTTGCCTACAATGCAATTAAAATATAGAAGAAACAAATGAGTATTATCCAAAAAATAACCTAGAAAAATAAGCTTATGATTATAAAATGACCCCAAAATATGCACAATGACTTCTTGAAATTGTTTCTTTTTGGCAAGTTTTCGTTCTCTCCCTATTTACAAAACAAATAGGGAAGACTATATTATGCCTGCACTCCGCAGGGATGATGTTAAATAAAACTGAAACGTTGATTTACAAAAGAAACATATCTGAAAGCAATTACTGAATAACTTAGAGCCTTACTGAATTCCATTAAATTTTTATATTTTGAATTGTCATCTGCCACCTGGATTTTATGTTTCCCTTTACATGAATACTTTAAAATTTCCACTTTAAAATACAGAAAAGAGAGAAAAGGGGTACAAATAAATTTCACCAGAATGCAGGAGATGAAATGTTTAATGCTCAAAACTTCCCCAATCATATATTTCTACACTGATGATTTCTTCAAAACAGTGTGCAATTATTGTCTTGTCTTGTTTTTGTGAACCCAATATTGTGTTTCATCATGTATTTTGAGCTAAGTGTATGGCACACCCCACCCACCACTTTTCCACACAAAGTTACGCCCTTGCTAAAACGTTTTCTTATATATATTCTCATTTATATAAATGGAGTGGACCGTGGACAAAACAATTGAAACTTCTCAGTATAACACAACACATTTGAATAACACCACTAACAGTCTTCAAAATGACCATGATGTTAAATTAATAACTTTCTAACAAATGTGAGAGAATCTGAACTTTATAAACACCATGGTATTAGGATTCATGTAGACTGCATTAGTTTTAGCTAGGTGTAACAGTTCCATATAAACTGGTTGCTGTGTGTGTAGAATTAATTAAAGTTATATCTGCAACATAACTAACATGTTTTATTGTGTTAATTTGATCAGATTTTTCTGATTTCTTTGGGACATTATTTATATTCCAAATAAAAACTGAACAAGGCCATAGAGCCAGTCACCAATTCACTGTCAAAAACCAACTCCAAATGTCACATAGGGTCTGGTTTCCATCATAAAGGTGGACACTTGTTCATGTCAGTTCTATTTCATAATGGAGTTTTTGATTAGACAATGAGGTGATTTGGCCCTCAGGTCAAAAGGATCGTTATTCAGACAACTTTGAATTGAGATTACAAAAACCCCAACCTGAACACAACTATTATCATCCCTTTCAGGGTTCTTGCTGTCATAATTCTGCATCTCCATGGTCATTACGTTAGCATCTTCCTTCACATTCAGTGTCCATGAACGAATCACCATCATGAGGACATCAAAAATAATTATGTCAACAGGTAACAAACCATTTGACACAATGTGAAGACATGAACATTTTATTTTTATTGTTTTCAATCGTTTGATACATAGCCTACTCATAATATCTATATTTCTTTACAGTAGAAAAATAACGTTTTGATTTCAGGAGTACTACAGTTATTTTCATTTCAAGAGGAGGTATTCAAAATCATCACTGTAAAATAAAGTAGGTCAGGGTACATGGGCCAAGTCTGACATAATCAGTCATGAAAACATTCTTAACAACACACGTTTTCACTTTCCTAATTCCCTTCAACCTCACCCAAAAAGGAACACGATACATACACCCAAAAATACACACAAGGTACATTTTATACATATTACTGAAGTGAGGAAGTTTAAATGTGAAGAATAAGAGTGAAATGAAATACAAAAAAAAAAAATCACACAATAATGTACAACAGCAGAGTTAACAATAGGATGAGGAAACCACGCCTGTGTTTGTAACAGTTTGGGTTGTTTTAAACGGGTACTAAAGTACCATTAAAGCGCATTGACTGTTTGAAGTACAACATGCTGATGCTGAAGCAACACAGCATCTCAGGTTAAGCAGCTCTTTGGGTTTGTGCATTTTACTGACGTCAGAGGCATAAACATACCTAATGTGCCTCTGTAAATTGTATAAGCCATATACCATGCAATGGGGACAACAAAGCATTTTGCCAAAAGCAGTGCACATTCATTGTACTGACGCAGGGCGACACAAGCAGTATCTCAACATCGTTGCTTGGGGATGACACGGCGAGCGTTAATGGACTGTAGGTGGATAACTTCAGCTGGAACCAGGGCCGTCAGACCCCCAGGTGCTTGTTCAGCCGGCTGAGGGCATCACCGACGATGTCAAGCTCATGCCGAAGCTCCTCCACCACACTGTTGATGCTGGGAGTGTCTTTAAGCACATCCACACTCTGGGTGTAAGGGTTGTATCGAACTGTGAAGGGACGCTTGATGGTCTTAGCAAACTCCCTGAAATGAGCATAATATTATGACTGAAGAATATGTTCTTTTTATTTAATCATATATAAAATGTGCAGTGTGTAGATTGTTTTCATCTATTGATTCAAGATCTATAATTAATAATATCTTGTTTAATTACTGCAACCAAGCTCACCTCATCTTGACTTTGGCCTCCTCAAAGCTGTCTGACACAAAGTAGATATCCTGAAATGTTGTGATGATGCATTCTTGTTTGGATGTAACTTTGGGGTCAAAAGGCATTATCCTTGCGTTGCCAGAGAGTGCATGCTGGAAGAGAGAAAAATAGAACACATGTTGCCACCATTGTATGTAAACACCAGCACATGAGTCATTTGATTGATTAAACACAAATCAACCTGTATTTTGCCATTTCAAATGAAACAATGGTTTTATCAAACATCTTTAACATAAATTTTATTGACATTTTCTTTAGGATTATAATGTTCAAAATTTTAAATTATTTTAATGGGTTTGGCTGGTTAGAAGCAAGCTTAATATACAGCTGTTTAGGCACTTTTTGATATATGATGAGCCAATAGGAAGACATATCCACTGTACAGTATATTCCTGTTCAAATGTTTTTACCTTAAGCTCACTGATAGATGACAGTAGTCCTGCTCCATATGCTCGCAGCTGCCCTTCTTGTTTGCATAGGCCAAACTCCACTGTAAAGAAATAGCACTGTAACACAATACAATTAGGAAACTGTTAGTACGACAATTATTCTAGATTTTTACATTTGAGAATATATTTGTTGAATTTGATTTGATCAAATGTTCCTGGGTCAGTATCACTCACTGTGGCCAGTTTCTGAACTGAGTCGTCTGAGGCCCCGAGTGAAGCAAGTCCAATTTCCTGAGAAAACTGGGCGAAGCTGGGCTCTGCCAGCAGCGGGACGTGACCCAGCAGCTCATGGCAGGTGTCCCTTGATAATGAAAGATGACAGAATGTTAGGACCAATAGCTTTGTGTGAACACTGACATCCCTTTTCTAAATATAGTGCTGTATATTACTCACGGCTCTGGGGTGTATAAGGGTTCAGAGCTGTGCCGCACATACTGGGTACAATGGAAAACACGGAAGGCCAAACCAGCAAGGAAGTCACGCGGGGACAAATAGCCTGCTACAGGCCTGATGGTAAATCCAGTCCGTTCTGAGAAGATAAGACGTTTGCAACACAGATAAGTGAGTGACTACATTTAACAAGCTGAAAGAATTTATAAAAAATACATGTCCAAGTTTGTGTTTGAAGCTAAAGATACATGTTTTATGAAGGAATCTAGAACTACCCCTGAGGAAGCGTGAGACATCTTCCAGCTGAGGGATGTTGTCCTCCCGAAATTCACAGTATTTGGACAGCAGAGGCAGGTTCTTCAAGTATTCCCGGCAGGCGTGGGTAGGGTACAGCTTGTTGAGCTCCCTGAACACAACCCCCCAAGTCTTCACTTCTTCCTCTGTGAACTCAATACGAGGAATGGGATCCCCACTGGAACGAGAGAGAATAATTCTTTAAGTATCAAGTAAAAACTTCACAGATTTCCAAAATAACCATGAAACCGTGCAACAAAAACTCACTGTTTGTACGCCATGGCAAGATCAGCAAAGTACTTTCGCCTTTTCCGGTAGACATTGTCCTTGAAACCCTGATGTAGAGGAACATAGAAGGTTATGAGAATAATTCAAATTTTAAGACTTTTTTAAGTCAACCATTAGGCTGGTTTGAACCTACATACCGGATGATCTGCATCCAACTCAGAGCCATACATCAGGACACGGTTAGCACACTTGTCCAAGTCTGAGATCTTCTTTGGGAACCAAGGTACATTAGACATATCTGAGAAGAGAGAAGAAAAATTTGTTATTTATTGTTAGCATGATCTAATATAACACATGGCTAATAATGTAATAATAATAATATTTAAATACATTTATTTATAGAGGGCTTTTAATCAAAGTGCTTTACAAAAATAATACAATAAAAATACAAACAGTACACTAAAATTTTAACTTTAAACTCTAAAAAGTAAATATCACTTATACAAAGACATCAGAGATTTACGAACATTTAGGACTCATACGGCGCAGTGAATAAGTAGGTCTTAAGCTTTGGTTTAAAAACCTCAATCCTGTATTTGCAGGATTTCATTTACCTTCCTCGTGTAGACAGGAGTTATCTGGAGGCTCCATATCCACCACGTTCACATGCTTTCGTAGCAGCTGGATTATTTCATTCAGTTGTTCGTGGTTGCTGTCGCAGTCCACAAAGATTTCAAAC